TAATTTCTTTAGAGGTCAAGAGTGAGTACGCTTATGGTTTCCCAAGACTTTTCAGATTTATTTATTTACTTTTACTACGATTACTACTATTTATTTATTTACTACGATTACTACTTATTTACTACGATTCTGTTTCAGATTCTTGGTTCGTAAACTTCATCATGCTTACGAGTTGTACCCAATATTCGCCCTAACTTTTGTTTGGTTTATCATGTTCTGCTACGTCATCTACTACTCATTCAGCAAGGCTGAAATCTGGTTGGACAGAAGTAAGTAAAAGTAAAATAAGATCCGGACGCTCTTACAACCTAATTTACTTATGAGGCACATAAGAGACGTGCCATTCTGTAAAAGCATAAAGTTTTTGAACTCAAACCATCTTTACAGGCAAATCAGTTGCACCATGGGATTGGGAGCGAAGCCGTAACACCTACTACAAGAACCCAACACTTTTGTGAGTTCATCATGGCTTATTCTTCCGATGTTATTCTTGACGAAAGAAAACTAACATTTAGGTTCGACAAGGAGGGAAGGACCCACCAAAGAATAGAGCTTCTAGAAGTTTTGCAAGACCAAATGGTAGAGGCAGCCAAGGCTCGCGGAACTCGCTAGATCTTGTTACTTATGTGTGTAGTAATATCGTTCGAATAAAATAGTGATACTGACTCCGAAACAAGTAAACACAGACAATCAGCTACTCATAATCACCCGACTTTATAAAGTCATGAATGGAGGCGAACGTGTCCATCAGTACAGAGGGGACATCGAACATCTTCATTAAACAGAACTAGGTGTTCCAAGTGCAAAAGATACTACAATTTCGCCGAAAGTGACAACAATCCTGTTCGCTTTAGATGAAGGGGCGTGTCGGTAGGGCTGTTTTTGCCGCGCCACCAGCCCATCTCTACCGATTGCTATTATAGAAAGCGACAACAAGGCGGACAAGACAGGGATGAGACTTGTCACTAACCAAAAAGGAAAAAAAAATGCCTGGCGTTGCGCGAGACACGTCCACCCCCTGAACGCCCCACCACAGTGAACAAGAGTGCATAACAGCTCGAACCAGGCAGAAGCAATCGATCAATGTCACTGTCGATGACAGCTTCTAGTAGTAGACTGGAACAATTTTCGGAAACCTGGGGAAAAGTGGAACTTCTTTGGAAAAACTGGGAGAGGAAGCAGGATTGGAAAAATTCAGAAAAACGGTAGGTATAGTCAAAATCGCTGAAGCACCATACTGAAATATCCCACAAGCAACGCATTCTATGCCATGTGCCCCGCCTACTCCGGCTCAAGGGGTGTAGAATGGAGTCGTACCACAGGAGTAAGTACTGCAAGAGTCGTTTTTTGTTAAACTACTCGCCAATGGTAGAACATTCCTTGTAGGCAATACTATGTCCGTTCTTTCACCAGCAATATTATCCCGAGTAATCATTCAAAACCACCAAATCCGGAGCACTTTTTCTCCCGCAGTTCGGCCCGGTGGGGAGCAGATCGCATTCAGCCAAGTTTCGCAAGTCACGTTGAACACCTGGAAATTCTTGTGACCAACGTGGCTGACTCGAACTATCCTGCAGCTTCGCAACGGTTTAGAGTTTGAAGAGTATTTATAGAAATAAACCTATATGTTACAAATACTCTATTACGGTAGCATAAGCAGATTAGTCCGAGGTATTCTCAGTGGCTTTTTCGTTTAAATTGGTGTCTATGTAACACATTTTTTTACCTGCATGTGTCGTGTAGTATTTTCGGATAGTTATAATGTAACATCAACTGATAGTCCGTTTTTTCGTAATTACGATGTCCTACTCACGTTATCCAATCAATTAGCATTCTTCACTTATCAATCCTTATCGTTTTCAACATTTCCTATAAAACTTGCTGCAATTATTTTTTTCTTCCTTTCCTTACTGAGGAGCACGGAAGGAGGAATATGCTTTTGCTCGGCTTCCGTCTAAGGGCACGTGCGAAACGGAAGCTGAGCTATCGCTTTCTTAATCTCAATTTCAATGATTTTACTACAGATCTGAAAGCGGGACACGTTAGTCAAAAAAACTAAGAGAAGGAACTAGTGAAAACGAAAAATGCCCCTTCCAAGCCCAAAGCGCTCGATTTTTAATATCAACTAGCTTTTTTCTAGGAAACTTTAGAGTATGTATGTTCAGTAAGCAAGCGCAAAATATCATTAGCCTTTCAGCCCATAATTTTTTCACCCGTTCTCCAAGAAGCGTTTACCGAAGAAAACAAATATTTAAGGGCAAGTCCACTCCAAGAAGCCAGACGTGCACTCTCCCGAGACAGACATATCTCTTCCAGACAAAGAAAGATCATTGTTCCAATACAAGAACCCTTGAAAAAGCGAATCACGGCGACAAACCTCCCTTTCCCAGCGCAAAAAAAAATTCTGAAATACGTTCGCTCACATCTTATTCAGATATATCGTACACTTCGAACAGTTTACTTTTGTGATCTGATTTGTTGGGCTTGCACATCCCTCAAAATGAAGGCGCTGCAGCTCTCTTCAAGAAGAAAACTGCTCCGCCTTGTAACTACACAACGTTGTACGTACAAGAACCACAATTAAAGCCAACAAATCATTTATCCATAACAATAACAAGATTACTTTAGAGGGATGAATCGTGATGAGTGGGTAGCTCCGATACCTGGCCTACCGTGCTTGACAGGCTTGTAGGTAATGGCGAATTCTCCCAAATAGTATCCAATCATCTCTGGCTTGATCTCAGTCTGGAACGGACCATGACTTCACACAAATCTTGAAATAAAATGAAATAATACAACCTACCTGGTTGAAAACCTTTCCGTTGTAGATACCAATAACGGAACCGACCATTTCGGGGAGGATAACCATATCACGGAGATGAGTCTTCACCGTAGCCGGCTTTTCCAAAACGTTGGCGGCCTTCTTTGCTTTTTGCAAACGAGAGATCAGGTTCAGGTGCTTTCTCTTCAACCCTCGGGCGAGACGTCTGCGCATGCGGCAAGGCAGCATCTTTGCGAACTGGTCACTGAAACAGAAGAGCGGTAATCATTCCGTTGGGCCTGTTTGCTCTCAATACCTAGGAAGGCTATTGTTCGAAAATAAGTGTGGACGCGAAACATTGCTCTCAAGTCATGTATTTCCCGCGGCAAGAAGAATGCTAGCAAGGCAAGGTGGCATCCAATCCCAAGAATTTCCAAAACGTTCTCAATATAGAATCTAGAAAAGACGGGACCCATCTCAGAGAAGTACTAGAGAGCTTGGCATCATCACTTACCCATACCGCCTCTGAAGAAAGTTCTGTCTTTCGAGAGACAAGTTATTCGAAAAGGATAAAGTCTCCGCCGATGATCAATCCCTTTGCGGGGTGCGGCACGCATTCCATTTCCATTCAGAATCGTAGTGGCTTACAGAATGCGATGTAGCCTATACTGACTTGATGGGATCGGCGATGTACAAGCCAATGTTCTATCCTCCAAGATGAATCTGGTACCAATATACCATCTCCGGGAGGTTGGATGAAACGCGCGGAAGCCGATCCGGGACTCTACCGTCGGACGGCGCGCGTGGTGAGTGCGCCACTTCCCGCCACACCACTTCGACAATTGGTTTAATCGTGCAAATTAGGAAAGTAGTTCCCCACGTCTCCCGAACATGGCCATTGACCACACAGAATCGCTTAAGAATGCAAAGCACCACGAAGAGCTGGTGTTGCAAAATAGGAAACGGATGTAACGCAATAACTTCACTGAAAAAAGAAAACAGAAAAGTATCAAATATCAATGTCGGAAACAGTATATAGACAGGGGCAGAATCACGAGTGCACCAGTATTTCGATGGCATTTGGGAAGTTACTTCCAGAACTTATGTCTTTTAGATGTCATACTGTAGGCACAAACAAGGTGCTACGACGACTGAAGTTAACGTTTTGAATAGTCGCCCTCGCCAGGGGGAGCAGAAGAAAAATCATCGTGACTCTGTCATCATAAATCATTTCAACTTAATTCAGTCAAGTTAAAACGATTTCTGGGGACAGAGTCACACCGATCTTTAACTTCCAGAATTTGACAAAGGACATTAGCTGAAACGTTAGTCAAATAAAATCGATTTACACCCTGTTGTTCGAGGCCAAGGTTTAAGGACAGGACGTGGAATATCACAGAAGTTAGTTCTAACCATCGCTGGTATTTATGACAAATATGACAACCTTAAAAACGTTACCAGCTCACAAAGTGGTCGCCGTTAGTCTTCATTAAGTACTTCAGAGGCGTGCCGAATACGCCGCCTTCGGTCACAGGTGCTGGCTATCAATTCTACCTTAGGATACCAACAATGTTGTTTCAAGAGTACCAGTTTGTAAGTTCGGTGCAGAGCAGATTTTTTTTTTCTTCTGGACAGCTCTGGTACAAAAGAAAACATCGGTTGAAAATATGTAGGAGTAGAGGGCTATTGTTCATCGCGCTGATTGATGAAGTCAAGGAAGCGTCTCCTCACGGTTCCCTGACCATTCTCCCTCTTCACGCTGAGAGATCAGGTCGAGCTCCGTCTGGATTTACCAAAGTGAGAATCAACCCATGAACTGAGGAAATTCTTCAAAATATTCAGCGAGCACTATGTATCGAGTACGTTCCGATTTTTCAGGTAAGTTTCTCTTTGCGCGTTGGGATGAGTGAATGTTCCTCCACAGATCCCCTTTTGGGAGCTGAAGACGTAAAAAGGATTTCTTTCGAAAAAAGAAAACAATGTCTCGACTGTTTTGTTATGATAACTGCTGTTTAACGCCGCAGTACGCGTTCCGAATGTTATCACAAGAATGCTGAGTTGTGGGCAAAAGTCGAGGGTAAAAGCGGCCCTGGTGGCGTAACGGATAGCGCACTCGCCCGGAAAGCGTGAGGTGCGGGTTCGACTCCCGCCTGGGGCACGACTTTTGCCCACAACTCAGCATTCTTGTGATAACATTCGGAACGCGTACTGCGGCGTTAAACAGCAGTTATCATAACAAAACAGCTTCAAAAACATCTAAAGCCTTAGGCCTCGCGGTTTCATGCCGATATCCCATCGATTACGGCTGACCGGCTCACCAAGTTAAACGTGTGAGTGCTGATAGGCTACGGCATAAAAACTCAGCATTCTTGTGATGTCTCGATTGTTTTCGTCAAACTCCTTAAGAACTGTGTGAAGGCTTATCCGATGAGACGCTGGTTTCGAAGTTTCAATGATAAATTTTACTTGGGGTATAAATCAGCAATTTTGCGCCACTCTGAATACTTTTAAAAAGAGAAAAGTGGGATACAAAATGCTTGATTTCCACACTGCGATGTTTCACTCCACATATTACGTAGATTTGTCAACAGCTGCTTGAAATTCTCTTCAAGGTAATCTCCAACGTTCAATAATCTGCTCCAAAGACTAGGGAGTACCAGTTTTTTCCAAGTTAAGAGACTGCGGGAGATATCAAGACCAAGCCATATCCTATAAATGCAGCGACCACATGCTCGAAACGGGCGTTTACTACGGAGTTTTCAGAAGAACATACCCATTAAGGGGAGTGTCGGAGCAGGGTTAATAAAACCGAGAAAACGCGAAACGTTGAAATCCATGTTTCAAGCCATAA